GAGGAGGAGGAGAGGAGGAGGACAACGAGAGGGAGGAGGAGGAGGAGGAAGAGGGAGGAGAGGAGGAGGAGGACGAGGAGGGAGGACGAGGAGGAGGACGAGGATTGAGGAGGAGGAGGAGGAGGAGGAGGAGGACGAGGAGTGAGGAGGAGGAGGAAGTAAGAGGGAGGAGGAGGGAGGAGGAGGAGGAGGAGGAGAGGAGGAGGGAGGAGGAGCGAGGAGGAGAAGAGAGGAAGAAGGAGGAGGAGGAGGAGGAGGAGGAGGAGGAGGAGGAGGAGGAGGGAGAGGAGAAAGAGGAGGAGAGAGGATGAGGAGACAAGATACAAGAAAGATGGAGGAGAGTGCAGGAGGAGGAGGACAAAAAAGAGGAGGAGGAGGAGGAGAAGGAGGAGGAGGAGGAAGAGGAGGAGGAGGAGGAGGAGGGGAGGAGTAGGAGGACGGAGGAGAGGAGGAGGAGAAGAAAGAGGAGGAGGAGGCGGAGGAGGAGGGAGAAGACAAGAAAAGCAGGAGGAGGAGGCGGAGGACAAGAAGAAAGAGGAGGAGGAGGAGGAGGAGGAGGAGGAGAAGGAGGCAGGAGGAGGAGGAGGAGGAAGAGGGAGGAAGAGGGAGGAGGAGGAGGACGAGGAGGAGGAGGAGGAGGAGGAGGAGGAGGAGGAGGAGACGGAGGAGGAGGAGGAGGAGGAGGAGGAGGAGGATGAGGAGGAGGAGGAGGAGGGAGGAGGAGAGGTGGCGAGGACGATCCAGGTGCGCTCGCGCCTCCTCTGATGTCATATCCCTCCCTCCCATTCCTTTCCCCCAGTTCTTCCCATGGCGCTAATGTTCTCTATCCGCGGACGCGTGTCATAGCCGACGCGCGACTCCCACAGAAAGAACACTTCATGTTCTGCGCAATCGGAAAATTGGGAGCTGCGTGCACAGAAGGAGGAGGAGATGGCGGGTGAGCAGGAGGATGAGCGGGAGGAAAAGGTTCAGGACGAACAGCAGCAGCAGCAGCAGAAACTAAAGCGGAAGGACCAGGAGGAACAGGAGGACCAGGGGAAGGCGGAGGTTGGGAAATGAGGTTCGCGACAACGATGAAGAACCACTCGGATTCAGAAAAGTGGACTGCGATGGGGCGAGACGAACAGCAGCAGTACGAACTGGAGTGGAAGGAGCGGGAGGAAAAGGAGGACCAGGGGAAGCGGAGGGGAATTGAGGGAAACGTGGCCCGCGCTGGGGCGAGATCGCCATTCTGAACGACGGGAACAACACGCCGATCCGAAAATGAGGCCCACGCTAAAGCGAAAGCACCAATTTTGAAATACCGGTCACAATCGGGTTGCAAAGCAAACCAACATGAAAAGCAACTGTTGCAATCCTGTGTGAAAAAACAACATGCGGAGGAGGTGAGAGATCTTCCGCACAACTTCAGTGGAGGAGGGAGAGTAGCTCATTAGCTAAACTGTGGGGGAGGTTGGAGGAGGAGGAGGAGGAGAAGAAGGAGGAGGCGGAGGAGGAGGGAAAGGGAGGAGGAAGAGGAGAGGAGGAAGGAGGATGAGAGGAGGAGGAGGAGGAGGAGTGGAGGCATGGAGGAGGAGGGAGGAGAAGAAGGAGGAGGAGCAGGAGGAAGGCAGGAGGGCCCCTGGGAGGAGGGTTTTCTTGAGAGGGGATGATGATGATGATGCTGCTGCTGATGATGATGCTGATGATGATGATGATGATGATTGATATGACGACGATGACGAGGAAGGAGGAGGAGGAGTGAGGGAGAGAAGAAGGGGGAGGAGGGAGGAGGAGGAGGAGAGGAGGAGGAGGAGGAGGAGGAGGAGGAGGAGGAGGGAGAAGCAAGGAGGAAGGAGCAGGAGGGAGGCAGGAGGAATTAGGGAGCTCCCCTCGGGCCATCTGGAGCTCCCCAAGGAGGGTCTGCAGAGGCCTCTGGAGGCAGCAAGGAGACCCGAGAAGGCGCAAGAACCTCGGCCTTGGGTCCCCGACCGTCGGCCCTCGAAGGAGGCGGAAGACAAGGACGACGAGGACGAGGATGACAAGAACGGGGGACGATGGAGGAGGAGGAGGAGGAGGAGGAGCGACGATCATGGTGGCGGTGGTGCTGGTGGTGATGGTGGTGGCGATGAGGATGCTTTATGATGATGAGGGTGATGGTAATGATGGTGACGACGATGGTGATGACGATGACGCTGATGATGACGCTGATGATGATGATGATGATGATGATGATGATGCTGCTGCTGCTGCTGCTGATGCTGAGGTTAATGCTGCTGCTCACGATGATTTTCATCCATGGATCCCCCATAAGAGCTCCCTGGCAAGCATAGGGTCAAGCTGGCGACATTGCTCATATCCCGGAACTCGGGTCTGTGGGCTCTGACTCCTCTCAGCCAATGAAAAGATGTGCCTTGACTCACCCCACGAGCAAGAGTAGAACCACTGATGTGGTTCTCTATGGCATTGGTTCCCTGCAAACAGCCCCGAATATGTTGATGATGATGATGCTGATGATATTGATGATGATGATGCTGGTGGTGATGATGATCATGACGATGATGCTGATGTTGATGCTGATGTTGATTATGATGATGATGATGACGATGATGATGATGATTCTTCCTTTTACTATTCTTATGAGGGTGATGGTGATAATGATGATGACGGAGCTAATGATGCTGATACTAATGGTGACATTGACGACGATGATGATGATGATAATGATGATGATGATGATGACGATGATGATGCTGATGATGGTGATGATGATGACGCTGCTGCTGCTGCTGACGATGCTGCTGATGATGATGATGCTGATGATGATGAGGATGCTGATACTATTGATGATGATGATGACGATGCTGATGGTGATGGTGATCATGATGATGATGCTGCTGTTGATGATGATGCTGATCATGATGATGATGATGACGATCATGATGATGATTCTTCCTTTTACTATTCTTATGAGGATGATGGGGGTAATGATGGTGACGAAGATAATGATGCTGATACTATTGGTGACATTGATGACGACGATGATGATGATGATGATGCTGATGATGGTGCTGATGATGATGCTGCTGACGATGCTGTTGATGATGATGATGCTGATGCTGCTGCTGCTGATGATGATGATGGTGATGATGATGATGATGATGACGATGATGATGACGATGATGATTTTTTCCATCCATCGACCTTGGGGAAAACAAAACCACGCAGTGCTGTCTGGAACGTGACAGTGCGTCGGGTAGAAAATAATAGAATTTCCCGTCGCAGGGCGTGTGGCCCTATACTCGCCCAGGCTGGGCGCGCCGTGCAGGGGGCTCAACGAGCGGCGAACCTGCGTGCACTCTAGCATCCTGATCCGGGCAACCGCTTTTTTAGCTAAAGTTGCCTAACTCTCTAGCGGCGTCTTCGTCGGCGGCGTAGTCGTCGACAGGCTCGGGTGGCTCAAGAGGGCTCAAGAACAAGGTTCCAGCGCAGACTCCGTGACATCCTTTTTCCTGTGGCTGTACAGGGTGGGCCGCGAAAGGGCGAGAGGAGGAGCTGGCTGGGGCTTGGCAGGCGCGGCTGGCAGGGCGTAGGGCGAACGGGAACTTGGGATGTCCGCGCACGCTGCTGCCATCATAGACCGTGCATTCGTGACTAGAGGCTGGGAGGGAGGAGCTGCTGCGCTGGAAGACGATTGGCCTAGGGCTCAGCCCCCCTTGCTCGCCAGCGTGTCCACCCACGTGCCCAGTTCTTCTTCGAGCCAGCCAGGAGGTGCGACTCCCGTCATCACGCGGGCTACTCCCTCTGCTCTGAAAGCCTGCAAGATGGTGGATCTCATCTGCCACTGATTCATCGATATTTGAAGTTTGATGCGTTCTTTGTCGTGACAGGCCTCCAGACGGAGGAAGGCGATCGCGTCCTCGAGGTCGCTCTTGGTGGTCGTGGCCTGCTCGTCGTTCTGGGGCTGGACGCTGTTGAGGAAGTCGGTGAGGGACGTCTTCATGGCTCCGCCGATGTCGCACTGCGCTAGGCTCTCTATCATGGCGACTGCGAGCCCCGCGGTGGGGGGGCCGATGGTGTGCAACTTCTTCTTGGTCTCGGCGTCGCCCTTCCTCAGCGTGTCCAGCTCGTTCTTGTAGAGGTCCAGCTCGTCCCCGATCGCGATCACCACCCTGTGGGTGATGGGGAGCTGGATGGTGTCCATGCTGCTCGCCATGGTCGCTCGTGTGCGCTGCGTCGTCTGCAACAGCAGCTTCGCCATCACCATGAGCAGCTCGAGCAGGTTGCCGTCCTTGCTGGACCACTTCTTGTCGCTGTGGGTCCCACGACGGCGGCGTCCTCCTCGGCGTCGGCGTAGAGGTCCTTGCCCCTCGGCTGCTGCCGCGCCCGTGCCCTCGTCCACTGTCATGCCCCCTCCCGCGGCCGCTGCTCCCTCGTCCCCTGTCCGCTGGCGTACTGCTCGCGGCTGCTCTGCTTGCCTGCTTCCTGTTCCACCATTCCCAGACGGAGCCGAGGATCGCGGCAGGCGCCACGACGCTCGTGGTTTCTGGTCCGCCATCGCTGCTAGGCGGGGCTGTAGAGGTGGCTCGTCCAGGATGGCGCCGTGCAATCGGCGCTGCTGTGGTGGGTGTAGCTGTCAAGATTCGTGTAGCCGATGCTGTGGCCGGGGCGGTCGAGGCTGCCGCGGACGGGGTCGGGCGAGCAGGTCTTCTGGCGGGCCGCGGCGTCGGATGCGCTGGCGGCGGTGGCGGTGCACTCGTCAGTAGCCTCAGCGAGGCCGCCTGGAGCTTGTGCCTGTTGCTGGTGGTGTCCTCGGCAACCCACTTGCTGGCGCCGCCTCCGCTCGGCGCCGCGCTCGACGCCTCAGGGGGCGCGCCAGGCGCACTCGCTGGAGCGCGCGGGCGAGGCGAGGGGAGGCTGGCACGAGACCAGAGCCCAAATGGTGACGGTGGGATTGATAGTGATGATGATTGTGGTGATGATGGTGATAATGATGGAGATGATGATGATGGGTATGATGATGACGATGTGCCGTAAAAGGCGGATCTGCTTCCTGACAGACCCTTTGTTTCAGTGCTTGCTTACGGAGCCTCTGCGGTTTGTGCCAGCTGCCACAAGGGATGTGGAGGAGAAGACGTGGCGAGCAGCCAGAGGATACCAAAACTAACATCACTAACATACGCTGTCGAAGGGCCGCGCAGATTTCTGAGCCCCCTCCCCGGGACACGGAGCGCGCCAGGGGCGGCGCCAAAGGCGCCGCCTGGGGGTCCGAGCGCCGATCCGGGACCTCCGCGCGGAGCTCCGAAGGTCTCTGTGCCTCTGCAGCCGCTCCTGCTCGAGGGCGGCGGAGGCCTCGCCGCCGACGTCCCCGAAGCTGGCGGGGTGGCCCGCGTCGGCCGCGGCGACGACGTGCTGCCCCAGGCTCTCGCAGTCGCAGAGGCTGGCGTGGTCGGCCCAGGCCTCCCCCGCGAGCCCCACGCCACGAGCGGCCCGGGCGACGGCCGCCCACGGCCGCCGAAAAGGCGCCGTCGGACGGCCCGGCGCCGCGGGCCCGTCGCGCCAGTGGGGGGGGGGGCCGCCACGGGCGGCGCGGGCACCGCCCTCCCCCTCGACGGCGGCCACGTCGGCGACGGCGACGGCGACGGCGGCCAGGCAGGCGGCGGCGGCGACCACGGCGGCGGCGGCGGCGAAGACGAGGACCCCACGCATGGAGGGAGCGCGGCTCGCGAGCGCGCCAGAGGGAGACACGCCTGCGACAAATCCGCGAGACCCAGAGATCCGACGTCGTGATTTTTTCAATGCGGGGTTCCCCAGGACCGGTTTTTCACCCTGAATCGTTTTTTGACGGCCCCGGGGCCCCGGCGAGGGCCCATCGAGGCCGAAAAATACAAACAACCCCCGTCGTGATTTGTTTCCATACGTTGGATCGCTGGGGACTTCCCCCTTCCGACGGGATCCTGGCGCCCGGCGTGCCGATCGCTGCAGGCGATGCGGCGGTGGCGGCCCGCGTGCCTGGGCCGATGGGACACCCCGGGAGGCCGCGCACCGGAGGTCGCTCCGGCGGAGGGCCCATTCTTTGAAGGGGCCCCAGGACACACAAATAAATACACACAAATAATAATCTTCCCCATATTTTCCCATATTTTCTGGGTTTCTGTCTTCCCCCCCACTTCCCATATTTTTGCATATTTTCCTGGGAGTCGACGATTAATTGTGTCTGTGTGTGTTTTCCCCCTCCTGATTCTTGAGCGCAGCGGAGCCTTGCACGCCCGCTCACCAGTGCGCCAGTCGGTGTACATGGGGCACTTGTTCAACAACGAGGCCTCTGAGAGATCCCAAACACCCAGAAGATCCGGTGTCGGGCTTCTTTCAAAACACAGATCCCCGGAAGTCTCGACCCCTTCCCCAGAACCGGCTTTTCCTCGAGTCGATTTTTGTCACGGTCCCGGGGCCCGGCGAGGGCCCCTCGAGGCCGGAAAGTGCGAAAAAACCATGCGTTGGATCTCTGGGCACAAGCCTATACGCATCCCTGCCGGAGGAGGGCGCTGACCCAGACCCCCGACGTCATGATTTTTTCATGACGTCGACCCCCCGAGGTCTCGACCCATTCCCCGGGACCGGTTTTTCGTCCTGAGTCGTTTTTGACGGTCCCGAGGGCCAGTAAGGGCCCCCAAAGGCCAGAAATAATGAAAACCTCCCGTCGTGATTTTTTCATAACTCGAGGGGGTCTGGGGATGTCTTGCGCGAGCGCGGGCCACCACACGCCCACGCCCCATGGGCGACGCCTCGCGAGCGCCGCGCCCGGCGCGAGCCGTGCGCCGGCTGGGGGGAAGGAGTGCGGGCCGGCCCCCAGACGACTTCGCGCGCACCTCCGAAGGTGGATGCGTACTCTCGGGTCGGGCGAAAGGGGGGGATAGCAAAGGGGGGGTTTGAGAATCAGCTCGCGTAGCTGATTTTCCCGGCGCCTCCGGGCGCCGGAGGCGCCCATGTATCGAGGAATGGGTCCCTCGGTGAGGCCGAAACCAGCTGCATGCAGCAAATTTCGTAACCCCCCCTTTCCCAATCCCCCCCTTTCGCCCGACCCGATACTCCGAGGTCCCAGTGCTTCTTGAAAAATCAAGACGGAGGTTTTTCGTATTCTTCGGCCTCGAGGGGCCCTCGCTGGGCCCCGAGGCCGTCCAAAAAGGACTTCGGATGAGAAGCCGGTCCTGGAGGATGGGTCGAGACTTTTGTGGGCCCCGTGTAGAACAACTCACGACACCGGATCTCTGGGTACTCTGGATGGGATACTAATCGCCCCCCCCACCCTGGATCCGCTGGGGTGGGTGGGCACGTGCGGTCGGAACGGGTGGAGCGGGGGCTGGAGGAGGAGGGGGAGGAGGAGGAGGAGGAGGAGGAGGAGGAGGAGGAGGAGGAGGAGGAGGAGGAGGAGAAGAAGGAGGAGGGGGAGGAGGGGCAGCAGGAGGAGAGGAGGAGGAGGAGGTGGAGGAGAGGGGGAGGCAAGCTCCGTCGGAAGGTTCGTCGCCCAGCCCTCGATTAAAATCCCACCCAGGATCCGAAGTTTCTGGCACTCGAGCCTCGGGTGCGTTGCCCCACTGCTCCATGCGCATCTTCAGTGGCAAGTAGAAGAAGTTCTCGTCGTCGCAATCAAGGACCTTCGCGTCGCGGAAGGTCTGGAGAAACTCGCCGTTCCTGCTCGCGTGGAAGAGCTCGGCGTCACCCCGGCGAAGGAGCCACCAAGTTTCAGCGCGAGGGATAAGCCAGCTGTCATCCGTGCACAGACGACTCTGTGGACTCCTGTCCAGTCTCCAATAGATGTAGTGCAGCGGTTTGACTGGGATCGAGTCGTCGGAGACCGTCATCATGTGGGTCACCTCGGGATCCTCGAGCGCACGCCCTATGAGAAGCATCGTCGCGTTGAGCGCGTTGCACCTCTCGACTGCCACCCTCTCGGGCACCAGAGAAGCCCGAAGCTCGGACGGAAAATCCTCTGCCGACCCCAGCGTGGTGTGGATCAAGATCCTCACCCTCAGGCCCTGCTCGCCCGCGTCGTGCAGCCACGACGACCACAGCCTGGCGTTGAGGATCGCGTGCCGGACAACCATCAGCAGCGCAAGCTTCGGCGGCCTCCTCGGGATCGGCACCAGCGGAGCGTCGAGGAACGACGAGCTGCCACCCCGCCACAGGGCTCCCAGGCGCTCGGCGGCAGCCTGCTGCCGTTGCAGGGCGCCCCCGCCGCGCCGGCTCGCCGGCGCCTGCGCGCAGTTCCGAGACGAGCCTGGGAAGGCTCCAGCAAAGCCGTCGGACACGTGCAGGACTTGGGCCAGACAACGATCGACACCACCCCACCTAGGGCCCCACGGGGCCGGAGCGTGCACCGGGAGATCTGGCGTGGGGGCCTGCGTGGTATGCGCTACGGCGCCCGAGGGGCCGTGCAGTCGGGCCGCTGAAAGAAGGAACGGTAACTAAGGAACGAAGCCCCCTCTTGGCCCTGCAAGCGCCTCCGTGCCCCAGGAGGGCAAGAGGAACAGCACTGGAGGAACCTAAGGGACATCGAGCCCCTGCCGAACCCAAACTGCTCCTTAGTTCAGCGTCTTGACTGTAGCGCAACATGGAGGGCCGTGGGTGGAGTGGCGTCGCTTGTTCTGTTCGTTGGGGAGTGGCCATGGGCAGAGGGTGGCCTCTGGGAGCGCGGCCTGCCGAGCGCTGCGTGCGATGCGGCAGCGCCCCGCCGCCGCGCCAACCGCGAGGAACGCCGCAAGGGCCTCCCTGGCCGCAGCGGGCCTCGGTCACGACCGGGCTCCCCGGCCTTGATCTGAGGGAGCGGCCTGGAGACCACCGCCCCTCCGAGCCCGAAGCGGCCCTCCGGCTCAGCGCCTTGACTGGGGTGGCTTCCGTGCTCGGGCTTGCCCCTCCCCCCCCCCCCGCGCCCCCTCGAAAGCCGATCACCAAAGGTCACTCAGGAGAGGGGTCCCGGCTTAATCACGGGAGGAGAGGGGGAGGAAGAGGAGGAGGAGGAGGAGGAGGAGGAAGGAGGAGGAAGAAGGAGGAGGAGGCGAGGAGAAAGAGGAGGAGGAGGAGGAGGTGGAGGAGGAGGAGGAGGAGGAGGAAGGAGAGAGAGGAGGGAGGGGAGGAGGCGGAGGAGGAGGAGGAGGAGGAGATGGAGGAGGAGGAGGAGGAGGAGGAGGGGGAGGGGAGGAGGAGGAGGAGGAGCAGCAGGAGGAGGAGGAGGAGGAGAAGGAGGAGAAGGCGGAGGAGAAGGCGGAGGAGAAAGAGAAGCAGGAGGAGGAGAAGGAGGAGTAGGAAAGGAAAGGAAAGGAAAGGAAATGAAAGGGAAGGAAAGGAAAGGAAAGGGAAGGAAAGGAAGGGAAGGGAGAGGTAAGGAAAGGAAAGGGAAGGAAAGGAAATGAAAGGAAAGCAAGGCAAAGCAAAGAAAAGGAAGGAGGAGGAGCAAAAAGAGGAGGGACGAAGAAGAGAAAGAGGAGCTCGAGAAGGAGAAGGAGGAGGAGGAGGAAGAGGACGACGAGGACGGGACCCTCGAGGAGCTCGAGGAGGAGGAGGAGGAGGAGGGGAGGAGAAAGGCGGAGGAGGATGGAGAGGAGGAGGAGGAGGAGGAGGAGGAAGAAAGAGAAGGGAGGAGGAGGAGGAGGAGGGAGGAGGAGGAGGAGAGGAGGAGGAGGAAGAGGAGGAGGAGGAGGAGGAGGAGGAGGGCAGGAAGAGAGAGGAGGCGGAGGAGAGGAGGAGGAGGAGTGAGGGTGGGGAGGAGGAGGAGGAGGTAGGAGGAGGAGGAGGAGGAGGAGGAGGAGTTAGAGAAGGAGGAGGAGGAGGAGGAGGAGGAGGAGGAGGAGGGGAGCAGCAGCAGCAGCAGCAGCAGCAGCAGCAGCGGCAGGAGGACGAGGAGAAGCAGGAGGAGGAGGAGGACGAGGAGGAGGATGAGGAGAAGGAGGAGGAGAAGGAGGAGGAGGATGAGGAGGACAAAGGAGAAGGAGGAGTATATAGGGCAAGGTCCCGATGACCGAGGTAAGATTCAAGGACGAGCGGCGGCGGCGGAGGGTCGGGGGGGGGGCGGAGGCGGGGCGGCGCCTGGCAGCGCCCACCGCCACGTCCGAGTTGAACGCGGCGCGGCGGGCCGCGGCCGCGGCGCTCTCCCCTCTTTGCCCGCTCCCTCTCTCCCTCCTCTCCTGCCGCTCCCTACCCCAAACGCACGATCCAGGCAGGAGCCCTCGACCTATTCGACTGAGGTTCTGCGCTCCCGCCTTGGCTAATTTATACGAGCATTCGGTTGCCAGTTCTCTCAACTGGCTGGTAGAGTAGCACCCACAAACAGTACAAAAGAGCAAATCCTGGTCGGGCCAGAAACAGAGCTGGTGGGAGCAGTGCACCTCCCTCGAGCGGACACACACGGCCTCAGTGGGCCGAAACACCGCCCCCGTCCAGGACATCGGGTGGCAGGGGGTCCCGAGGAAGGCCGTCAGCTCACTGGCTTTGGCACGGCGCCCACACTTACGGCACTGACCGAAATCCCCCGCGAACTGCGGGCATCTATGATCTGAATTCAACGCTGCCGCTCTGAGCAATTTCGAGCGAGTATTGCGCACGCGAATCTTAGGCGGACGAGGGGGCCTCTTGCCCTCCTTATCCATCACATCATTCATAACACTGAGAAGGTGGTTCTGCACCTTACACGTGACAGCGTCGGCCATCCTGACAGCCGCACTTACAGCAAAAGGCACTCTGACTTCCTTTTCAAACTCACCCGCAATGTGGTCGGCAATGGCGTTAGCCAACACAAAACTAGGGTTGAGACCTCTCTCCCCAGCCTCTTGAACGGACAAGTGGCTGGGCACACGGACAAGGTACAAATCCCTGACGCGAAGCAGCTCCTGCACACGGGCCCACAAGTCGCGGTGGCTCGACACACGGGCCCCCGGACCAGCAGCGATCCGAGCAACTCCTCTGCACACGTAGGCCGAATCGGCAATATATCCGAGCTGGGCACCAACTGGGCTCTGCTCCAAAAACTTGAGAAGGGCCCAGAGCTCCCCCCGATTGACACTTTGCCTACCAGTGATGCCGCCCCCCGCAAGAAAGGCCAAGCTGGACACGGCATTCGCCTGGGGGAGCTCTTCTAAACTGAGCCCAAAAATCGCGACGCCCCAAGACACCCTCCTGAGCCTACGGTCCCGCGAGAACTCCCCCCCACTAGCGTCCCCCGCACCCCAGATGCGACGACCCTCCACATGGGGAAAGGCACCTGACGCCGCGGAGAGAGGCGAATCGGGAGGAGGGGGAACGTGAGTCCAGGATTTGGGTGTGAGGCCGCGGAGTCAAAGCACAGGACACTCTTCGGCCGCTGCAACCCCTCGTCTGGCGAGGGCCTCAGAGATTTCCTGGAACTCAACATTACACGGGCACTCCCAAAATCTGTGAACATCGGTCTCGGAACTGAGACCGCATCTGGGGCAAACTTCGGAGCAATCACCTCCAGCACTGACAATGCGAGAGCGAGTCCAGACAGCACCAGTGAGAATAGCTCTGAGCAGGCCAGCCTGCTTGACATCTTTTTTGCGCAGGCAAGCAAGATGACGGCGCGCAACAGTGAAATCGATGCCTGACTCCGAGCCACCCCCGTTGCGGAACTTGGATGCACCAGCCCACAACTGGGCCTCGATTGAGTCCGCAACAGACTGTTTGAAATCGGATGTCATATAAGCCTCAGTACGGAGCTCGTCAGGGAGAGCATACTCTTCACCCGACGGAGCAGTCCAGTGCCAAGGCCCATCCAGCTGCCACCCGAGCCCCAGCATCGTGGCGACGATGGCCGAAATAGGCCCACGAATGTTGTGCCACCGACGCCGTGGTCCCAGGTCCCGAATTCTATGAACCGTGTCTCTCCAGCAGCTGTGCAGACGAGGGAGGGCCTGCTCCGAGACCCTGGACACAATTTGAAACCAAGAGTCCAGAAGCGAAAAGACCGAGCAGAAAGCGGGATCCTTGGGGCCCACTTCCAACGCCAAAATCGAAGTGAGGCACCTGCCTACATTCCCTCGCGCCAGGGTGCTCGCCAGGGCCCGCCGCCACTGCAAGAGCACCGAGGGGGCAACTCCGAAAACTTTCCAAGCATACGAGGCTTGGGGGAGTGCTCCCGTGAGAACAAGCTTGGGCCCCACCTTACGCGGGGCAACTCGGGCCAGCTTATTGATGCGATTCACACGCCGATGCGCCTGGGCAATGCGCCTGGAGTGGCGAGGCTTGGAAATCTTCGCTCCACTCCCGCGCTCAATGCCCAAATCGGCGGCGACCGACGCGACCTCGACGACGATTCCCTGCGCACCTAAGCCGGCCTGGATCTCGCGAGCAACAGCAAGATCAGACGCAATGATAGTGGATTTAGAAGCCAGCTTGAGACCCTCCTGAGCACACCCACGAGCAAAGGTGATTCCCGCACGCACGAGGTGAGCCACAACATCGCGGCGAATCCCCTCCGCTCTCTGGGTGACGTCGTCAATCCAAGTCCGCAACTGTACCAACGAACTCGAATCGACCGACATTTCACAGATAGAAAACATCTGACACTTGGCGAAATCTGGCGCACGCCTGGCTCCTGCAACAAGGCCCCCTGACGGGATGATTGGGGGCGCCACGCACCCAGCATCTTTCAAAATCCGAGGGCCCATGTGCAGGAGAGCTTCCAAGGAGAGGCACAAAGCAGGGAAGTCTAAATGGAGGGCATGGGCCACCACCTTTTCCCAGCGAATGGTATCATAAAAGGCTTCGACGTCCCGCAGATTGGACGCAGAACAATGCTCAGGCAGCACCGACGACAGAGCAGCCTCGTCAGCATAGCACCTGAGCAAAGCCTCCCGTAGAGCACTGTTCCCTCGAACCGCGGCGTCCCAAGGGCCAGAGCGAGCCTCGGCCCAGACCTCCGCGGGACGAGATCGCATTCGGCTCCACAGACGACCCAACCAGGTGAGAAGGCCGATGGCGCGATCCTTGCGCACGTCAGGCTTTCGCAACAGAACAATAATGGCTGTGAGCCACTGCCATGGCCAAGCCACGGCGAGCTCGACCTGCTGAAAAAGAGACAGCAGCTGCTGGCGACCCGCCTCAGGCAGCCACCAAACATCCCGCTGGCGAACACCATCGATGCCTGACGCCTTGGTCGGCGAGACTGCGAGCAATGCCGCCTCTAGGCCGTCCAGCGTCAGAGAAGGCAAGTCCTCCTCCCGCGCCAGGTCGCGAGCCTCCTGGAGCACCTTCATGGCGTCGGTGCTGC